TTTCCGATCATATGGCTAATCGATCGCATCTAGGGTTTCACGTATGGATCTGCGTTCTTCTTCTTTTATCCATCCATGGATACTCCTTCTACCTCCCTGGTGTCGCACCCCAGGATTTCTATAAGGTAAGAAGTTCTGATTTACCTAATTGTGGTTCTGGTGTTTCAATGTTTGATGATATTGCTAGTTATGGTTATTGTTATTGCTCATCAAATACGATTTAAATAGATCGTTACAGTTACCATGTGTTTTCATTGATTTTGGAAGAATCTAGTATGTCGGTATGTTATTCTCCAAGATCCATTTTTAGCTTCCATGTCTGTATGCATTAGCTTCTGTTTCTTGATTAATACATAAAAATCAGGAACTTTTTCCCCAATTTGTTTACTCGGAGTAGTGATCTTATACTTAGATGACAGGACATTGGTTCCTGTTGTCGATCTTGCTTCATCTGTATCATTGTCTTCTGAGATCTCAGCTTCTAATCATTATCATGTCCTTACTCTCTAATCTAATGGTTTAATCTTTTTATTACTTATCTGTCAACAATCTAACTATGAGTTGTGCATGTTATGATGACTATAGGCCCCCTAGAACTCAACTTGTGTCCATGAAAATGACCTGATTTGAAAATTAATAAATCCAGATTATTAGCTTTTGGGCCCTACACCTTGGTAATAGTGCTTAAGGAGTAGATCTTCCCACATACAAGCCCTTGTATTGTATCCACCAAATGGGGCCTTCCTGCTGTTTGAAAAATCTCTTAAAAGCTATCAAGCTATTAAGGATACCTCAAATACTACTACTGTTGTCTATGTGTATATGTATAATGTATGCACACATACAACAACTGTATTATTTTCATTTAGTAACGTGCATAAATATTTTCATTTTGTGATTATAGGGAGATGTTCTGAGGGTAAAAGTGAACAAATTGGCTTCTACAAAGACTCAACTCCCATATTCTTACTACTCTGTCCCTTATTGTCGCCCAAATAAAATAGTTGATAGTGCTGAAAATCTTGGGGAAGTTCTTCGTGGTGATCGTATAGAAAATTCTCCGTATGAGGTATAAAACTAAAGTTTTGAGATCAATTATGTTCCTTTTTACACTATGTTCTATAGTTTTCTAATGAAAATTTATTTGCAGTTTCAAATGCGAGTGCCACAAATGTGCAATGTTGTATGCCGAAGAGTATTAAATGAGAAATCCGCCAAAGAATTTAAGGAAAAGATTGATGATGAGTATAGAGTTAACATGTAAGACACTTAACATCAAAAAATTTGAATTTCACTATTATGTAGACCTAGACAAGGATGAGACATGAAAAGACAGGACCTGACATGACAGAATAGGTTGTACTGTGTATAGTGTGCATTGGAATCAGACTGATACTGATACTGATACTCATATCAACGAGACAAGCATGTAATTCTTGTCCCACTAAAAAAGTGGGACAAGGACTTGCTCTTGATCTCTTGTTTGTGCAAAAGACACGAATACCCTTATTATCATCTTGATCTTTTGTCGGTGCAAAAGACATGAATACCCTTGTGTTATTGATTTGCAAGCTTTTGTTGACAGGATATTGGACAATCTACCTTTGGTTGTTCCCATGACAAGGCTTGAAAAGGATTCACCTGTTATATATCAGCATGGATATTTTGTAGGACGCAAAGTACAGTATGCAGGAGTAAGACCCTTTTTTCTTTTTCTTTTTTATATATTTTTTTGTCAAGTGTTGTCTGGATAAAGAAAAAAAAGAGTGAAACTTTGTAAAAAGTGTAGATGTATTGAGGATCTTAAGCTGCTTTTTTTTGCATTAAGTAAAAAAGTAACACTTGTATATAGCAAGTCCTGCGTGGAAAAAGTGTCTGAATGAGACTAAATGACCATTTTACCCTTACATTCCAAAAAAAAAAAAAAAATTCACAATATTGACAACTTTTAACAACATTCATCTATAGCTGTCCAGATTAAGTTCTTAACCGATTAAGCTTATTAATTCAAAAAGAAACAGCCACTAACCACTTATTGTATTTTTTTTTTTTTTCTAACTTGTAATTATCTGCAGACAAAAGAAGAAAAGTATTTTATCAACAACCATTTGACATTCACTGTGAAGTTTCACAAGGATGTGCAAACTGATTCTGCAAGAATTGTAGGATTTGAAGTCAACGCTTTCAGGTAACAACACAATCAAAGTTTTTTATTACGACTTAATCACTTAATAGAAAAAACCCTCAAATTCATTTCCCTGACTTTCTCAATTAAGTCATTCTTTCTGAATTAAGTCTTGTTTCCATTGATTATGTACAGTGTTAAGCATCAATACGATGGCGAATTCAACGCAAAAACCACCCGCCTATCAACATGTGATGCTCACGCAAAACGCATGGTCACAAACTCCGATCCTCCACAAGAAGTCGAAGACAAAAAAGAAATCATTTTCACTTACGACATTGATTTCCAAGTAAGTTGGATTGTGGGTCCCACAATGTTTTTCCTTTTATCAAGTCAATTAACATTAAAAAAAAAAAACAGGAAAGCAATATCAAATGGGCATCAAGGTGGGACACATATCTTCTAATGGCAGACGATCAAGTCCACTGGTTTTCAATCGTGAATTCCCTCATGATCGTTCTATTCCTTTCCGGGATGGTAGCCATGATCATGTTAAGAACACTTTACCGCGATATCTCAAAATACAACCAATTGGAAACGCAAGAAGAAGCGCAAGAAGAAACCGGATGGAAACTCGTACACGGTGACGTATTCCGACCGCCATCCAATTCCGACCTCCTCTGTGTCTACGTCGGAACCGGAGTCCAATTCCTTGGAATGATACTAATCGCCATGATCTTCGCCGTCCTTGGATTCCTATCCCCGTCGAACCGCGGCGGTCTCATGACCGCCCTTCTCCTCCTTTGGGTCCTCATGGGTATCTTCGGCGGGTACGCGTCCGCGCGTCTTTACAAAACTTTCAAAGGAACGGAATGGAAAGCGATTACCCTCAAGACCGCGTTTATGTTCCCCGGAATCGCGTTTTCCGTCTTCTTTGTGCTTAACGGTTTGATATGGGGGGAGAAGTCATCCGGAGCGGTTCCGTTCGGGACGATGTTTGCTTTGGTGTTTTTGTGGTTCGGAATCTCGGTTCCGTTGGTTTTCGTTGGGAGTTACATTGGATTCAAGAAGCCCGGAATTGAAGATCCGGTGAAAACGAATAAAATCCCGAGGCAAATCCCAGAGCAAGCTTGGTACATGAGCTCGATTTTCTCGATTTTAATCGGTGGGATTTTGCCATTTGGAGCGGTTTTTATCGAGTTGTTTTTTATCCTAACATCGATCTGGTTGCAGCAGTTTTATTATATTTTCGGGTTTCTTTTTATTGTGTTTTTGATCTTGATTGTGACGTGTGCGGAGATCACGATTGTTTTGTGCTACTTCCAGCTTTGTAGTGAGGATTATCTTTGGTGGTGGAGGGCGTATTTGACATCGGGTTCATCGGCTTTATATCTGTTTTTGTATTCGGTTTTCTATTTCTTCACAAAGCTTAATATCACCAAGGGCGTTTCGGGGATTTTGTACTTTGGGTATATGCTGATTGCTTCGTATGCGTTCTTCGTGTTGACTGGGACGATTGGGTTCTATGCGTGTTTCTGGTTCACCAGGCTGATTTACTCTTCGGTCAAGATTGATTGATTTGATTGATTATGTAGTTTTCTTGATGATTTATAGGGAGATTAGGGGTGCTTTATTGATATGTTTAGTTATACGAATTGTTTTTTGGTAATTGGATTTGGTATTTGATGATTTTGTTTTGGGTAATTTGTATGTAGAGATTTGAGGGGATTATTAAGGCATCTTATCGTTCTTGTTTTATGATAATTTGTATCTTGATTTTCAAGTACTATTATGTTTTGTGTGCTTCTTAATAGTTTTGTCTAATGAGACCCCAAAAGGCTAAAACCATCACATTTGACTTTGTCAACTTGTCATCATCATATCATGCAATGTTAGTTTTATGATTATGATTGAAATATTGAATTTGACTTTGTTTTGTTTTGGTTTTAACAACTAAAAGACATGGCAGAAGTTGATCGGCATCAAATGTTTTCTTTATCAATATTAGATCATATTATTCCAAAACTGAATAAAAGAATATCATTTGGTGAAACATATAATCCAATTTGAGAGTTGACCAACTAGGCACCTATATTTGTTAATTTTCAAACAATTATCTATTGTGTTCAAAAAAAGGCATGATTATCACACATCATTTTGAAAACAAAAACATATGAGAAAACAACTCATTTATTTGCGGTATTAATAATTACTTATGTAATAGTATATCTATATATCGTGTCAATAATAAAGAATAACTTGTAATTTTAAGTATTGTATCAGTGTTTATAGCCGGTTATAATCGTGCACGTATACATATTTTATGGAAAGTAAAGAGTTGAAATGATTTAAAAGGGTTTTACCATGAACATATATATGCATTTATGTAAAATTGAAAAAAGACTTATGTGTCCCTCTAAAGTCCATAGAAAACGAAAACAAAAACAAATACTGTGTGCTAAACACATCTCACATAGTCACATGTAGTTGAGGTGACTACCTATGGGACCGGTGATTAATAACACACTCGTATACTCATACCCATAGAAAGACCAAAAAGAAAAGTCATGTTATAGTGGATTTTATAGTGTCCATTGCTAAAAAAAAAATAGAAGATATAGTAAGGGTTTGTGATAGCTACTTCAAATATTATTTTAATAAACTTTACAATCACATGCTAGTCATCCAAATCCCACGACTCCCCCTTTTTCATCTCACCCAATTCCTACCCCTATATAAAGGCACCATCCGCTACAAATGGCAGCAGCAACCGCCATTAGAGTTGCAGCACATTCTTCTCTCACTCTTCTCGCGTCATCCCCATCTTCATCTTCCTCCGTTTTTGAAAACTTTAGATCCATATCCCATCTGGGTATCATTTCATTTTCTGCAAACACGTTGTTGTTGTCTTCTCCAAGAAGCAAACGTATGGCTCACGTTGTCGCTAAGGCCACTCTTGGCCTCACTCATCCTGCCCAAATCGACCATCCCAAGGTTTATTTCTATCATAATTTCGATCATTTTTCTTGATTCATGTTCTGTTATTACTATTTTTTGATGATCGATTAATCGTTCGTCGTACCCGCTAACCTAGCTGCGGAATCATTTGATCTGTGCTAAAATTGTTATATCCAATAGTTTATGTGTAATCTAGGACGTAGGTATGACGTTGATTCATACATATAATCGGATACTTGAACTGTACTAAAGAAGTAAATGGTGCTATTTTAATAACAAGTCAACTATTAATTGAAAGATTAAAAAAGTCTTCCAATTCAAGAAGGGTATGATTTTTGTCAAGCTTTTGATCTCCAAAACGTTACCAATTTTTCTAAACACAAGTAGCTCTTTGTCAAGTTTGAAGTTAAAAGATAAACTAATCAAAATAGATTGTTTTTATCAATATAGATCCACATAGTCGTTCAAAACTATATGATTCATGAAGCAAATGATGCAAACCCCGATTCTCTCTTCATCTTTTTGAAAACATATCTATATAACTTACCCATATATATTGCTCCATTCTAAGATCCAAAACATGTTTGTACCCAAATGAATCTAAAGATCTTTCTATTAGCATTTCAAGAACTTGTAACAAATGATAAATGCAACAAGACCCCATTCTAAATCATCCTTCTTTCTTTCTTTCTTTCTTTTTGAAACACACAAGATTTCTTTTGCTGCTAAAGAGACCAATTTGGTAGAATGGAAAGGAGATATACTCGCAGTGGGTGTCACAGAGAAAGACATGGCAAAAGACCAAAACTCAAAATTCCAAAACCCGATTTTAAACAAGTTAGATTCCCAATTGAGTGGATTATTGTCTGAAGTATCTAGTGAGGAAGATTTCACAGGAAAAGCTGGACAATCAACTGTTATTAGATTTGCGGGTCTTGGATCCAAACGGGTCAGCTTAATTGGGCTTGGAAAAGGGCCCACAGGCCCATCTTATCGTAGTCTTGGTGAGTCTGTTGCATCAGTTGCAAAGTCTTCTCAAGCCAAAAGTGTTGCCATTGCTCTTGCTTCTTCAGAAGGGTTAACTACTGAATCAAAGCTTGCTACTGCTTCAGCAATAGCTAAAGGCAAGTTTTTCTTTTTCTTATATTTTATTAGGTAGGCTGCACCTTGAATTTTTTTACATAATTATTACATGGAATAGGATTACTAAATGTTGAGTTATTTTCTTTGTTTTATGATAGGCACATTGTTGGGTACTTATGAAGATAACAGATTCAAATCCGAGTCAAAGAAATCCACTCTTAACTCTGTTGACCTTTTTGGCCTTGGATCTGGACCCGAGCTAGAAAAGAAACTTAAGTACACACAAGAAGTTTGCTCAGGGGTAATTTTGGGAAAAGAGCTTGTAAATGCCCCTGCTAATGTCCTCACTCCTGGTTAGTCATCCTTTTTTATGACTAACTTTTTTACCCTTTTAGGTCCCATTTGTTACATGTTTATGTTTATGCTTCAGGGGTATTAGCGGAAGAAGCTGAAAAGATCGCTGCAACATACAGTGATGTAATTACAGCAAAGATATTGGATACAGAACAATGCAAAGAATTGAAAATGGGTTCATATCTTGGTGTGGCTGCTGCTTCTACAAATCCCCCAAAGTTTATCCATTTATGTTATAAACCTCCAAGTGGTTCCATTAAAACCAAGCTTGCTTTAGTAGGAAAGGGGTTGACTTTTGACAGGTGATAAACTGATAATGATATTCTCTTATTTTGTTTTCAAATTTGTTATTAGTTAGAGGATGTATATTACTATGTTTAATGTTTTCTTTCAAATGTGATATTCTTGTTTTTTCTGTTTGCAGTGGTGGCTACAACATTAAGACAGGACCTGGTTGTTCAATCGAGCTGATGAAGTTTGATATGGGCGGCTCAGCAGCGGTTTTAGGTGCTGCAAAAGCCCTTGGTCAAATTAAACCGCCTGGTGTAGAGGTGAAAATTTATAAAAAAGTTAGGACTTAATAGGAAAGTTTATTTAAAAGTTACCTGATAAGGGCAAAGTTTCTTCCTTTTTATACAGAAAGTCTGTTTCTTTTTTGGATTGAATGGAAGTGTCTGAATGTGAATCCATTAAGTAAAAAAAAGTAATAACACATTTTTATACTTTTTGGCATATGACTTTGGCTTATAATTATGCTATCACAGGTTCATTTTATTGTAGCAGCTTGTGAGAACATGATAAGTGGAACTGGTATGAGGCCTGGAGATATTTTGACAGCATCAAATGGAAAGACAATTGAGGTACAGATTTACAAAAAATCATGAAAATTTTATAAATTAGAAGTGTATTCAGAAGGCATTTTCTTTAATACGATTATGAAGTTTGAAAAATTCCTATTTTATTTTTATCGAATCTTTCCTGTTAATTTAGGTCAACAACACTGATGCTGAAGGCAGACTTACACTTGCTGATGCTTTGGTGTATGCTTGTAATCAAGGAGTAGACAAGGTAACTTTTGCTATTCAGTTGCATACTTTCATTTGAGTTAAATGCAAAAATAGCAACATACTTTCATTTGTTTGTTTTTTTTTTTTTAATTTTTTCTTATCACATCATTGGGTAGATTTTTCAATTTTCAAAAAAGAAATTAAAACTACAATGCTACGATTTTGTAGATTTTTTGATCTTTTAATAAGAAAAAAAAAACATGGCTCTTTTTAGTTTGTGGCTCCTTGTTAAAGAATTGCTGACATGGCAATGACATGTTCCATAATTTCTTTAGATAGTTGATTTGGCAACTTTGACTGGAGCTTGTGTGGTTGCTCTTGGGCCCTCAATTGCAGGTATACACACATACATGGGATAAAAAAAAGGATATATAAAATTAGTCAATTGACATTTTGCTTGAATGATAAAACAGGCATTTTCACACCGAGTGATGAGTTGTCAAAGGAGGTGGTTGCCGCCTCGGAAGTCGCCGGAGAAAAGCTTTGGAGGTTGCCAATGGAGGAAAGTTATTGGGAATCCATGAAATCTGGAGTGGCTGATATGGTCAACACTGGTGGTCGTCAGGGTGGTTCTATTACTGCAGCTCTTTTCTTGAAACAGGTATCCGTGTTTTCTCCAAACAATTTAAGGTTAATTGCAAAATTACGTTTTTACCCTTTCTGCTCATCACAAAGAACAAGTAAATTTTATTTTAGATATTTGATTAATGGTCAAACAATTTTCATCTATTTTACTTCAACACGACCTTGTACTGTGTTTGGTATGCATTGAAAGATGGGATAGGGGTCGACCCCTGTGCAAAAGACATGAATGCCCCTCTCCTCATTATCATCATATAAAGAAACATATTGATGAAGATTGTGGTGAATTATTGCAGTTTGTGGATGAGAAAGTAGAATGGTTGCATATTGACATGGCGGGACCCGTTTGGAGTGACAAGAAGAAAGCAGCAACAGGATTTGCAATCCCAACTTTGGTGGAATGGGTCGTGTCCAACTCTTAATCTTAAAAGGGTTTTAATCGGTTTGGCGGGTTGACCCGTGGGTCTTAAATTCTCTAGTGACTAGTGGAGTGGGGGGAGGTTCAAATGTGAGTGAGTGTTGATGAATCTGAATGAATAAAAGGATGTCCATTTAAGGAAAAAAATTGGATCTCTGTGTTTGGGTCTCCTCGCAGTTTATGCATATGCAATTTGGTTATGGTTATTACTGATTTTCTTTTGGGATTGTGTGTTGCATTTTGCATTGTTGCTTCTCAAAGGTTTTTTATTATACGTGTTCTGTCTAAATTCTAATAAAATATGAGCTTACAATTTTTTAGGAAGAAATACGACTTATGTGTACATAAAGATCAAACCTTGTATACATCCGGAGGTCCAATTTGATCAATCTGGTTTAAGAAAGAAAAACTTGTCATCTTTACAATAGATCATCTACTACCATTTAGACGAATACGAAGGATATAAATGTATGAATACATGATCATAAATATTAGTGTAAAATACAGTTGTTGTGGATCTGATTTTTTTGTGCGACTTTCAATGTTTTGGATACTATAATTTTGTTTAAGACTAATCATGGCAAGACTTTACCATAATTAGTTCTTATAAGTATTGTTTTGGTATTAATAACGAAAATGAAAACAACTAAGCTAACATTAATGAAAATAAAAAATGACATATTAGTGTTCAAAACACATTATACATCATCTTCTCTAAAATACAATGTGAACTTGGGACTTGCGTAGCTTCCAACCAAGTAGTTTCTATTTAACTTCAAACAATTCTATGTAACTTTCATTTAACTTCATGGCGATATCAGTTGTAACATCCCAAGATTTGACAGGTATTCTCGAACCCTCTTTTATCATTTCCTTATCATTTATAGTCCTTAGGGTTGGAAGTGAAGAGTCAAGATAAGTTTAAGGGCCAAGTTTGCAAACTTGTGCCAAGAGGGAGTACGTTACGCGTACATAAGAGTACGCTAAGCGTACTAAGATCCGCCTTAGTGCGCTGGGCGTACTAATGTCAGGGTGAAACCCTAATGAGCATCAAGACCTCCCTTACCTCAGCCTCCACAGATTACATTCGTCCTCCCCAAACCCTAGCCTTTCCTTTGTATGTTTAAGCTTATTTTGTGTGTTCTTAAGTGCTTTAAGAGGAAGGTATTGCATCAAAGTGTTGGAGAAGAAGATCAAGCTTGTAGATCTGAAGTTAGCTTGTGCTCAAGAAGCTCTAGAAGGTATAAAGTTCCAAACTTTATACATATATGCAGAGATCTCATCATTTTACTTTATTAGAAACATTTCTTGTCCCAAAAGCCATAAGGTGGTGTATGTTGTGATTTGGATGAAAAATGGTTGTCCTTCTAGATTCTTGAAGGGACCTTGAGTGATAAAAATGAGATCCCATTAGCTATATGTGTCCCATACATGGAGAAATAAGGTCTTAATGGATTAAGACCAAGCATTAAGAACTTTATGGACGTCCAAAGTGATAAGGTTCATGACTTTATGGATCCTAGACATGTCAGATCTGAAGTTTGGGCTTAAGTGCTTAAGCCATTAAGCACTTAATAAGGTTTTGGCAAGCTGTTGAGTATGCCCAATGGACTAGGCCAAGACGAGTACGCCCCGCGTACGTCCTCTGTTGGGCCTTTGTCAAATGGGCTTCAAATTTTAAGCTGTTTATGGACTAAATGGAATCAGGCCTTTGATGGACTTTGTAAATAAGATATTTTGGGCCCAATAGTTATAGTGGATCATGTAGTGAGGTCCAATTAGGAAGTTAGGCCCAATTTAGTAAATTAGGCCGATAATGGGCTTTATATGTGGACTGGGTATTTGGGCCTTGGCCCAATAAAGAGAATGAACTTAATGAATGGTGTGGACATTTAGTGAAGAAGGTTATTTTGGGTATTAACTTGGTGTTAATTGTATAATAGTTTGGGATTCCCGGTGAGATAGCAGTCAGAGATTTACAGTATTTCAGCACTACTTGTGAGGTGAGTTATCCTCACTATATCAATAGAGTCTAAGGCACCAAGGTCGGCCCTTTATGGATTGTATCTAGTTATGACATGATATGTTTATTGGTTTGCATCCTGGTAGTTAGGATGAAGTTATGTTTATGCTTAGTGACCTGGTTAGGTCGGTGTCCTGGTTATAGGATGTTGCTATGCTATATGATTTGTTAGATCAGTTTGATTGTTATATATGTATGCCTACGTATGATAGTTATGTGCTCATGTGTGTTTTTGATTTGGGATGGGTTAAGGCAGTCCTGCTTTGTGCTGAAGGCCAACATACCCAAGGTGGACCGAATAGACTATAAACCCGAAAGGGTATGGTAGTCAGACCGAAGGCTCGGTGAACGGTCCAGATAGGCTGAAGGCCCTGAGAGGCGGTCCAGACGTGTCGAAGGCTCGAAGAGCGGTTCAGATAGACTAAAGGCCTGCGAGGCGGTCCAATCAGGCTGAAGGCTCATTATGCATATTGTTATGTATTTGTTGATATGATATGATTATGATTATATGAGGTTGGTATTTTGGGGGTAGCTCACTAAGCTTTTGGGCTTACAGTTTCAGCTTTTCGTTTCGTACCGCTCCTCCTGCTGTTATGATTTTATGATTTGATACTGGGATACTCTGATATTTATTATTTTGAAAACAAACTATATAATGTTAAATAGTTTTAAGTGTTTTGAAAAAGTTAAAATTTAATATGATTTTTATGGATATGATCATTGAAAATTTCCAGATAATATGAAACGTCATATGTACGATATATCAAACCATATGATCCGACTTTTTTCATATGTGAAATGACTTATTCCGGCGGAATATTATAGTAAAATGCAAATAACTAGGTTATTTTGTTATGTGCTAAAAATTTGAAAAGTGGTCGGTTTTTTTAATATCTCTATAAAATTTTATATTAATTTCCTTTAATATAAATATAAACTTGTTTATCCTCGCCGGTAAAAGTTTTTTTTTTTTTTTTTTTTTTTTTTGACATTTTCACGAAAAACGATCATTTGTTTAAAGTTTAAACGAAAAGTAAAAAAGAACAGGAAACATTCATTTCATTACGATATACAACTTTTACAGCCACGAGTTAACACCACATTTTCCCTTTAGGCTTTTGTTGATTTCTTTCAGAAAAACCATGAATACATATTTCGGCGCCTAAAACTCGTCCTCTAACGACAAAACGAGTAACATGAAACCCACATGCAAAAAACCAACTTCAAGTTTCTTCACTTCGGTTCAATATCCTTAAGAAGTCCAACAACTTGTTGCATGCTTGGCCGCTTCGCCGGAACATCCGCCGTGCACAGATACCCAATCTTTAACCCCTCCACCATCTGACCCTCATCACCGACGCCTCGCATCTTGGGATCTATGGCTATCGAACCATGGTTCATCCTCACAAGCCCTCTAACCCAATCAACTAACCCTGTTGCTTTCAAGTTATCTTCATCTGGATACTCATCTCCCACAGGCTTCTTCCCTGTGATTAACTCAAGAAGAATCACCCCAAATCCATACACATCGGATTTTGGACTGACGGTGGCCTCCGGCGGCGAGTATCCGGTAGACCCACGACCGGTTTCATCAGAAACACCGTTGCCGAAGATTTTAGCGAGCCCAAAGTCCGATAATCTGGGTTCAAGATTATAATCGAGATAAACACTACTCGCTTTAACGTCTCGATGAATAATCGGCGGTGAGCATCCGTGGTGGAGGAACGCCAAGGCACGGGCGGTGCCTAGGGCGATCTTGTGCCGGAATCGCCATGTGATCAACAGCGCTTCCGAACCCACGTTTTGGATCCCGTTTTCATCGGTTTCTGTTTCTTCCCATGTATCTGTACTCCAATCTTCAGTCACTTGAACTCCAAGAGGAAGATCGTAAAGCAAATTATGCAAGTTTCCGTTCTCCATGTAATCATAAATCGCGATTCGTTGTTCTCCGGCCAAACAGTATCCCATCAAAGGAACAAGATTCGGGTGTTTGATTCGTCCGAGATACTCGAGCTCTGTTGCAGCTTCTTGGTCAGTCATGGTGGAACCATGGACTAAAACCTTAATCGCGACATGTACCCCACCTCCCAAAACCCCTCTATAAACCGGTCCGAATTGCCCTTCGGCCAAAAGGGTATCCCTGTCGAAATTTGAAGTAGCTGATAAAAGATCCGAGAATGTAAAATTCAACAATGGCTTCTCGAAGATCACAACAGGGACTAAAGATGCAATCTTTACATCTGCTACCCAAGTGGTTGAATCCGTTCTGAATGAAAATGGCCCAGAAATTGCACATTTTTCAGTGTAAGATTCTTGTTTAACATCCCACATTCGCGTTTTTTTCCGACAACCGAAAGCACAGAGTAGCAAACCGACGAGCAAGCAGATCAAAGTGATGGCTAAACCCAAGGCGAGCTTGAGTCCTCTATGTCTATGGATTTTTCTTCTGAAAAGGGTCGGATTTGCAGCGATTGGGCAACCATTTGATGACCCGATGAACGCTGTTTGTAGGGTTTCGAGTGAAAACTCTGAATCACAAAGGGTTAAGTTGTTGTAAGAGAAGTTGAATCTTTCCATCCATGGAAGTTTTTGCAAGAGAGATAACGGTATGTCTCCCGTTAAGTTATTGTTTGAAAGATCGAGATTTTGCAGGGTTTTGAAGCTTAGAAGTGGGAGTTTACCAGAAAGATGATTACTTGAAAGATCGAGTGTTTTTAAATGATTCAACTTCGAAATCCCATCACCAATTCGATTGATTAAATTGGTGTTTGACAAGTTAAGGTACTCTAAACTATGGAGTTCATCGATGTGGATGAAACTTTGTTTCGAAAATCTGTTCTTCGCGAGATTAAGGTGTTTGAGATTATGAGCTTGACTTAAATTACTGAAAAACATTCCGCTAATCTGGTTATCGGACAAATCAAGATGAACTAAACGAGACCAATCGAAGGAAGAACTGAAATTTACCTGAGAAATATGACCTTCGAAATGATTACTACTTAAATCAACCACCTCTAATGGCCATTTAAAGATTTCAACAACAGCACCCGTGAAAAGATTCTTGGAAATATTCAAATAAGTTAAAGAAACCATCTTTGAAAAATCCGAACCCCTTCCTCTGATTCCATTTCCAGCAAGATTCAAGCTTTTGAGCTTCGGAAATGCAGTGTCAAAACCATCAGGAAGACTCCCATGGAAACTGTTCATAGAAAAGTCGATAGATATCAACGAGTGGCAACGTATGATCCCTAATGGAACGATGGATTCGAACTGATTTCGATTGAGATTAAGAACTTGTAAACTGGGAAGAGAATCGAAAGAATCAGGGAGACTCCCGGAGAAATTGTTGAAAGAAAGGTCAAGTTTTTCGAGCGATTCAAAGTTGTCAATGTTAGATGGGAGATTAGCGGAGAATTTGTTGTTTGAAAGATTGAGCGTTTTGAGTGAAATCAAACTCCAAAAATCGGATGAGAAATCAGTGATTTGATTACTGTTTAAATCGAGAATTTGAAGCTTTTTGAGTTTG